ATAGTTCCATGCAGACTGCGTCTCACTCGCGCTATTTTCAGTTTGCATTAGCGTCGATAGCAGAATCCCGCAGCGATCAAACGGTAGTGGTGAGAAGAAGCGAACGTAAGAGGACGCAGACAGGTAGCGCATTCTGCTGTAGTATTCATTCGTGTGTGGTCGTGTTGCACGTCGCGCGTCTGTGTACCTTGTCTGTGGGAGTGGGCGCAAACGGCATCGAACGTTTCACTCCAGCTTTATTTCCGCGCACTGTCGAGTGATAAATTGCCACACATCCGTACCCGTCCTCCTTGCACAGGCAAGGATCAGGACCCGGAAATGAGCGCAAAGTCGGCCTTTGCAGGCATCTGGGCTTCTGAAGCCTAGAAGGCACATTTTGCGATAGCATTGTACGCAATGGCTTCAGAAACGGAAATGTAGGTGCCAGTTAATTTGTTAATGGAGAGGAAAACAGAAGTCCGTCTTCATTGGGGTCCCCTTTCTGCAATTTATCGTGGTCACTAGGCGAGCACAAGACGGTCAAGATTAACTGCGACTGGGGGAGAGGGGCATAACTATACTATTACAACGACAATGACAAAGTGAGTCAGCATGGACATCGTGGACTAGATGATAAGTTTGGAGCCGGCTTTCTTGTTTTACTTGAGCAGTGAAAAGAGCACTCCGTGGTTGCTGAAACACGTGACCTATTTGCAAAGTGGGTTTCTGTAATCGCCAAATGTGCTCTTAAGTCCTAAGTTCCTAACTTATTTGTAGGGGTGGTGCCCGATTTTCAGAATAGTCCACGTACGACTTTCTTGCAATCTTGGCATGCTAGATATCCTTTTCGTATGTCTTCAAGCCTGTACAAGATTGGATGGCTTTATTACTAGGCCTACGTTTCGGCGTCTTCGCCTTCGTCTGAGCCTGAAATGGACAAAAAACAGATGTAACTTGCCCGCTCAAGCGCCTAAACAATCCTCAAGACAATTTCCCTAGACTAGTAAAGCATCCAACGATATCAATCAATAGTATTATGGCTCACCTGATCAGCCGCCGCTATGCGGGGTCGACCACCCTGAGGAACACTTAATCGAGAAGTAACTGTTACTATTCACCCTCCTCGACCTCACGGTAGATCAAAACTTGCAAAGGTCGAGGAAGGGTGCCAGCTCACGCGTTATGGCCACACACTCTCCCTTTCTATTCATCTGAGGGTCCTTTGCCGTAATCCAGAATGCCTCCAATGTCTTACGCGCTGTGATCTCGGCCTCCTGCGCTAATATGGTCACCGACACGTCGAATGTCGTGCCTTCATGATGTTGAACCCGATGGGCTCCAAGCGGGGTATAGGCTCGCGACCTACTGAGTCCCTCCAGATGTTCCTTGACCCGCACACGGAGAGGACGACCTGTTTCCCCTATATACTCACTACCACAGCTTTGGCAGTGTATCAAGTAGATAACTGCCGACTTCATACAATCACCCTGCTTACCAAAGGGGCAAACGACACATTCTGGAGTGTCACACAATGTGTCGTACAGGCGGTTGCGAACCAGTAGACGTTGAAGGTTAGATGGGGGTATTTCCACAGTATTGAATTTCGTCTGCAGATCACACCGATGTTGCAGTGATCGAACTGCCTTACTCAACTGATCGGAAATGAAAGGCAGGCAAAAAACAACTTTATTAGGCATCGATTGATGGATGTTTACTTATGAGACACGCGCAATACCCCTTCGCGCCACCCCCAAAGCGAGGATATCCATTGGACAAGGCAATGCCCTGAGCGATGTTCAGGGATTCTCTTTTCAACTCCACATCGGACGAAACCTTACTGGCGACCCTGAACATGTTTGTTACTACAGCTTGCTTTGTTTTAATCGGGTGAGCCGAGGAATAATGAACCAAAATGTTCTTAATGCTCGGCTTAGGCGAGACTACAAGAAAAGTTCAATAGATTAGTAGAGCAACAACGATGTCACATATCGCGTGCGGTCTCACCTGATAACTTCAAACACTATGACCGATACTGAGAACACTAGTAATGTGGAGCAACCAACAAAAACGCGGGTCCTGGTTTTAGGCAATGTTAGAAATGGGTCCAAGTTTTGCTCCTACGCAGTCCATGACTCCCAGTGTCTCGCGCAAGATCGTGGGTAATCTGCAAACACTTCACGATCGCCTCCGATATAGAGCTAATGTTGAACAGCGGGTGGGGGGCGGGGGCGCGGAGACAACTCGAAAAAGTTCCCTGCTTTGCCTTTCCAGTCAATTTTTATAAACCACAAGAGCCCAACAGCACCGTGTACACTAAGTTCAGCATGTTTGCCACCTCAGTTTTCAGAATAGTGCGGCAGCATGCTGGGAAGCGAACTATTCCCAACCTTACCCCATCACAAACGCGAGGTTTCAAAGAAATACGTGACGGCGTGAAGGCTGGCAGAATACGTTTTTGTCGATTAGCGACAAAGGTGGGAATTTGTGGTTTTACCGCAAGAACTCGATAAGGCAATCACGAGAGTGCACCTCCAAGATGGGACCTTATATGGCAGATCATCGGAAAAAGAGTACAACAAACAATATCGCAAAAACTCCAACAGGATTTGATGTAGTGTTGCGAAGGAGGCAGGCATCCCCAACACCACAATCAATCGGCTCAAGTATGATCTGCCGATCCTGTCCTGTGTTGTACTTACTTATTAAGACCCACAAGCTTGCTTTGTCTGATTTCGGCTCGAATGATCCTGGCACATTCAAAGTCCGTCCCATAATTAGCAACATTGGGGGACCTACTGACAAAATATCATGGTTCCTCAACTTGATCCTTGGACAGCTTCTTCAGTACGTGCCCGCCACTTAACGGATACGATGCTACTAGATAAACTAGCCAGTGCCAGCCTTCAAGGGGATAGCGTCATAGAATCATTTGACGTGACATCATTGTACACCAATGTATCGAATGGCGCGGTACTGGAGGCTACTTACGAGTTACTTCGTGAGCACGAATCATCCCTCAGTCTTTATGGGTTCACGATCTCACAAGTAATGACAGTCTTACACGAGTGCCTAGAATGCTCTATTTCGGTGGGCGGGTGATTATTATATAAACAGCTGAAGGCCTTGCTATGGGCGGCTAGCCCCTGTCTTAGCCATAGTGTTCATGTCCAAAGTCGAGGAACCCGTGCTAGACCGCAGACCAATTCTATACTATCGATACATCGATGACTGCCTCATTATATGTTCAACTCAAGACGAAATAGATGCCTGTTTCGATCTATTAAATGAGCAGTCGAATAACATCAAATTCACACGGGAAAAACCCGTCAAGAATTGGCTGCCGTTCCTCAATGTTCAAGTCCAGCTATTACGTGGGGCAGTCAGGACCAAATGGTATCGAAAGCCGAGCAGTAAGAACATTTTGGTTCATTATTCCTTGGCTCACCCGATTAAAACAAAGCGAGCTGTAGTAAAAAATTTCAGAGGTCGCCAGCAAGGTTTTGCGTCCGATGTGGAGTTGAAAAGATAATCCCTAAACATCGCTCAGGGCATTGCCTTGTCCAATGGATACCCCCGCTCTGGCTCTAGGGTGGCGCGAAGGAGGCATTCCGCATGTCATAGAAACATCCATCAATCGATGCCTAATAAAGTTGTTTTTT